GGATTTATGGGTCCAATTGCATGGACTGCCGAAAGGATATTCGTCTAGTCGGACTTTGGAACAAATTGGAAATTTATTGGGAACGTTTGTGAAATATGATGATCGCTTCGACAATGCCCCGTGGAAGATGTATCACCGTATTAGGGTTTCGCTGCCTGTTGACAAGCCCTTGAAAAAACGAATGAATTTTATTAAACGAGATAAGACGAGTTGCTGGGTCAGTTTCAAGTACGAACGCCTTCATACCTATTGCTATTTCTGCGGGATGCTAGGGCATTCGTATCAGTTTTGTCGTGGGGCAAGGGACTCGAAGATGCCGGTGGAGGAGTATTTGTATGGCCCGGAGCTACGGGCAGGAGGGAGCCGTGGCCCTAGGCCAGTGGGGGGCAGCTGGCTTTTGCCAACGGGCCGGCAGACCGTGGGGCGGAAACCGCAGGTGGATCGGGCGGAGGAGGGGCGGTCTTCGGGAGGTGTGAACCGGACCGAGGGGGTGGTTGAGGGGGAGGTGGTGGCGGTTGCCAAACGGCGCCGGGGGGAGGTGGATGGTGAGGGACGGAGGTGCGACGGAGGAGATATTGTCATGGCCGAAATTCCAAAAAACTTGCAGTTGGCGGGTTCTGGTTCCCAGACCCGCCCGGATTAATGAGTACTTTAAGTTGGAACTGCCGTGGCTTGGGTAATCCACGGACAGTTCGGGAGATTGTGGACATGGTGTCCCGGAAGCAACCCGACTTTGTATTTCTAATGGAGACTAAAGTGGCACGCGATCATGCAGAACGATTACGTGTTAAGATTGGCTATGAAGGACTGTTTTATGTTGATAGTGATGGGTTAAGTGGTGGTATAGTATTACTGTAGAAAAAGAATAGTACGACCCGACTAATCAGTTACTCAACGAACTATGTTGATGTTGGGGTAACTATTGCTGGCTTTCCTGAATGGCGAATGACGGGTTATTATGGGTTTTCTGAACGAACAAGACGCGCTGAGTCATGGGATCTTTTGAGAACACTCTCGGGCAGGTTGAATATCCCGTGGGTTGTTATTGGTGATTTCAATGATTTGTTATATCAGAATGAGAAGAGAGGGGGAAATCCGCATCCGAATAGCCTCTTACGCGGTTTTGGGGAAGCTATTGAGGACTGTGGGTTTGCTCAGTTGCCTATGGTTGGTTATCCGTACACATGGGAAAAGGGGAAGGGAACAGTCAACTGGATGGAGGAGAGGCTCGATAAAGTTCTAGTGACGGATGAGTGGCGGAGTATGGTGATGGGGGCTAAAGTGATGAACCTGAGAACCCGGAAATCTGATCACTCGGCTCTCTTTCTGGGGATTCAAGACTCCGCTGGGGGTGTTGGGCCTCGTAAGAGGGGTTTTCGTTTTGAGATGGCCTGGTTGCACGATGAGGGGTGCAGGAATGTGGTGGAGCGGTCCTGGCAGGAGGGGAGGGGCCAGGGATTACAGAACTGTATTCAGTACTGTGGGACCCGGTTAACACGATGGGGTGGAGACCGGTATCATAAGTACGGAAAACGGATCAATGAACTGACAAGAGAGCAGCAGCGACTGAGGGGGCGTACTGACCCGGCCTCCCTTGCTGAGTTCCAGCGCCTAGAACAGCTGTTAAGCTGTACTGAAGCTCAGGAGGATGCCTACTGGAGGCAGAGAGCCAAGCAACACTGGCTTAAGGAGGCAGATGCTAATACGAAGTTTTTCCACAGGTATGCCTCTCACCGAAAAAAAGAAGAATACTATTTCTAGATTGATGAATGATAATGTGGATTGGGTTGAGGGGGATCCTATGAAAAATATTATTCTGCAGTATTATAATCGTATTTTCTGTGCTGGAGTCCCGGGAACTGGGGAGGAATTTTTTGAGGGAATTGTCCCGCGAGTCACGCAGGCACATAATGAGGCTTTGTTACGTCCGTTTGAACTTGATGAGGTTAAGTGTGCATTATTTGCGATGTTCCCGGACAAGGCAACAGGCCCGGATGGAATGAATCCAGGCTTTTATCAACATTTTTGGGATGTGGTTGGGGGTGATGTGGCCAGTTTTATAATAAATTGTGTTGAGTCCTGTGATTTCCCACCTAGGTTGACTGAGACTGATATTGTTTTAATCCCAAAGAAGAAAACCCCTGAGTATGTCACTGACTTACGGCCTATAGCCCTCAGTAATGTGGTCTATAGAATTATGGCAAAAATGTTGGCTAACAGAATGAAGCCGTTAATGGAAGGAGTAATATCTGAGTCACAAAGCACATTTATCCCGGATAGGCTAATAACGGATAATATATTATTAGCTGCAGAGGTGGGGCATTTTCTGAATAGGAAACAATGTGGAGCGGGGGGATGGAGTGCCCTTAAATTAGACATGGCAAAGGCATATGATCGGGTCGAATGGTCCTTCTTACGAAAGATGATGTTGGCCCTGGGTTTTCATGCTGGTTGGGTGGAGTTGATTATGAAGTGTGTAACCTATGTCTCATATAATATTCAGGTGAATGGTTTAAGGTGTGATCCTATTATACCCACTCGTGGAATAAGGCAAGGGGATCCATTGTCCCCATATCTATTTATTATTTGTGCAGAGGGTCTATCTTTGATGTTACAGCAGGCACATAATGTGGGATCAATACATGGACACCCCTCTTTTATTGGAAGACATAAGAGAGCTGTTTTTGCGTATGTGGAGGATAAAATCCGACAAAGGATTGGGTCATGGAATAAAAAACTGCTATCACAGGCGGGGAAAGAAATTCTTTTGAAAACTGTAGCACAATCTATGCCTACGTTTTCAATGAGCGTTTTTTTGTTACCTGTATCAGTGTGTACGGCAATAGAAAGGACAATGAATCGTTATTGGTGGGATTCTGGAACTGACAGGCGAATACATTGGAAGGCATGGGACAAGTTATGTATCCCAAAGAATATGGTGGGCTGGGGTTTAAAGATTTGCGTGCTTTTAATCTAGCAATGCTAGGAAAGCAGGCGTGGCGAATGTTGACTAAGCCTGACTCTCTGGTGACACGTGTGTATAAGGCCCGGTACTTTCCGAAAGGATCTTTTTTTGATGCACAAGTGGGAAATAATCCCAGTTTCTGCTGGCCGAGCATCATGGCAGCAAAGAGTATTATTTGTGGTGGGGTCAGGCGCAGAATAGGTAATGGGGAGTCTACATTTATATGGACCCACCCTTGGCTACGGAATGACCATGACCCAATGATACAAACAGAAATGCCAGTACAGTTGCAAGATGCCAAGGTGGCAGGTTTGATAGATCAGCAAACTGGTGTTTGGGATCCCTCGATCTTAACTGACTTATTTCAACCCAATGATGTGGCAGAAATTATGAAAATACCCATCTCCCCGGAGTATGAAGATACCTGGTACTGGTATGGGGACCCAAGAGGAGAGTACTCTGTTAAAAGTGGATATAAGCAAATAATGGGAAATTATCAGCAGACTAATGGGGTTTTTACAAAATGGTTATCCCGATGGAAATTAAAGATCCCCCAAAATGGAGAATGTTTCTATGGAGAGCCATTAGTGATATATTGCTTACTACTACAAATTTGCTTATAAAGAGGGTGGATGTGGATCCACGATGTGCCATGTGTGGATTATCTCAAGAAGACACAATGCATGCTATGGTGTTGTGTGATTTTGCACGGAACATTTGGGATAAATCTAACCTTACAATTCCAAATATAATCACAAATATTTTTTACGTTTGGTTTGATGAACTTCTAAATGTTCTAGACTCTGATGGGATATTCTATGCAGTAGCAATACTTTACAATATTTGGAGAGCAAGGAACAGGGCCGTATGGGAAGCAACATTACCACGACCGGAGGTGGTGCTCAAGGCCGCCGCTGCTGCCAAGCACGCGTGGACACGGGCGCACCCACAGCCCACGGCCCGAGCCACCACGCCGCTGCCTGTGCCGGACCCGCTGCAAGGAAATGCCGAGCTCAATGCGCCGATTATGCCTGTTGCCGAGCCGCCTGGACCACCAAGGCGAGTATGCCGAGTGGACGGAGGGTATATGCAAGAGACAGGACAAGCTGCTATGGGGGTAGTCTTACTAGACCCGGACGGGGGATATGTCTCGGCGTACAGTGGACCACTACAAGGATGCTCCTCTCCACTTATGGCTGAGGCACTCGCATGTAAGGAAGCTCTATCATGGTTGAAGGATCGGGGAGAGCAGAATGTTGACGTTTATACGGACTGCCTAACACTACATCGTTATCTTATTGCACCAACCGTTGTGCTGCGCACATATCTAGGCTATGCCATTGACACCTGCAGGCTTATTGCATCTTCGTTGCAGTCTTGTTCGTTTCATTTTATTCCTAGATTAGAGAACCATCTAGCTCATGCTTTAGCTACTACGGCTTATTAGCAAACCACAGCTATGTATTGGGATCTTCTCCCACCGGATGTTATTTCGGCCTACTTTTAATGAAGCATCATATAATTTTCAAAAATATTAGAGTAATGAAGTATCGGTGCTCCAATTACAATTGATCCAAATAAAATTTGACTATTCCAAATAGCTCACCCGAATACATCATAGGTCAACATATTTGAGTGCAAAACCCTAAACTGGAAAACAATAACAACACAAAAATCAATTTCCGATCCCTACATTATCGCATCTTCAAAGTCCCCGATCCATATGCAATTAAGGCCAGGTGACATTTCCATTAATATAAACCTAACAAAAGTAATCAATCAAACTAACAATAAAAACATGTATAACTTGGCTCAGATCAACATTCATATATATCTACTTCGCCCTCTTAAAATCTTTGAGGGTTCAGTTAGATATATCGAATAGCTAACCGGCCATATATGGTTGATACAATACTAATACAGATTATATGATCCGCAGAAACAAAACAGCTAGCTAATCTTATTAATACTACTATTAGCTAGCTTAGCTATATAATTAGCTAGCAACTGCTTATTAATACTATATATATATGTGCTACATGCCCAGCTTTCTGATAGTCATCTCAATGTCACTGGCTATGACTTCTGCATCCATCTTTATTCCCAGTATCCCTTTCTTCGTAAACCCTGCCATGTATAAACCCTTCTCTTCACCTTTCCACATTGCATTCCCGTTCCCATTCTTGCCCTCCACCTGGATATAAAAACACCCAAATTGAAGCTCGTTCTGCCTCGAAAATCTTTTATTTCTCCTCAATTATATTAACCTGATCGAAAAATTTCATTACCTTGAGCCATTTAGCGGCCGAGCTCTTGTACCCGGTTGCAAACACTATTGCATCAAAGTTTTGCTCGCGCCCATCCTTGAACACCACACTTCGCTCCTTAATCTCATGAATCGCGGGTACTACCTGAATTAACAAAACCACACAACCGGAAACCCTAATTAACGTTCAGCAAATAAGAGAGAAACATATGAGTAACGTTTATAAGATTATGTGTTAGACTGACAAATTCATTATACCTTGATTTCTCCGATCTTGATCTTGTGGATGGTCCCAACGTCGATGACCGGAGATCTACCGGTTGACGCTTTCAGGTAGAATGCACCTTCCGGCGGCGATCGCAACCCGTACTTGGACAAATCGCCATATTTGAGCTTGGCGCACCAGGAAATAGCCATGTCCACCATATAAAGTGGCAGATAGTTCAGTAATGTCATTCCGGCACGTATCATATCTCTGGTAAAAACATGAACCTGTACCGTACGTGCGAACACAAATCACGATTAACGTTGACTCTCTAGATTTTTGGTAATGATTAATAATTAATGTTATGTTGTTTCAGTTATAGTAACGTACAACGGTTGGCTATAAGACAAAACATAATTAATAAACCCAATCATTAGTACCTCTAGACTCTAGTTACGGCTTACCGTATTCAAAGTATAATTGACGGTTACGGTTGAGATTAGATACATTCTAAAATGAAATTGCGTGCTAGGGTTTTGACTTTTCAGCCTTGGGCACAAGTTAAGTAAATGACATCGAATACGAAAATACTTAATACACTCCTATTTTAAACTCTCAATTTGTACTCATTCTCATATGCTTTTGATGTAAACATTTGTCTGTAGATCCACATGATGAAAATAATCTGATTTGTCACATCAGAGAGTATAAATAAAGGAATAGAATTTCAGAAGTCTATGTAGTAGAACTCTATAAAATATTACCCCTTTGCACTTAATACAATCCAAAAAGTTTTCAAACAAGTTTTAGATTTATACCCGGTACCATTCGATCGACACTTTAGATTTTTTTATTTTTTATTTTCACTCATACACACTCAGAAAATCTACCAAGTAGTATATATATATATATATATATATATATATATATATATATAGTGGCGATGAATATATCCATAGTACGAGTACAACCCTAAATATTGTTTAGATTGTACCAGAAGGCTGGATCTGTCAGTTATTTATTTATTTTTATTTTTTTTTGGAAAGGGAAACATTAAAGCTTCATTAACTAATATAGAAACCAACACGTTATAAATAAAGGAAGGAGGGTGATCAAATCACTCCATGCAACCAGCCAGAGAAAGGGACTCTGATCCCTAGCGAACAAATGAGCGGTCTGATTCTAGGAGATAAACACATTAGAAAAATGCATGGTTAAATCATATATGAAAATGAAAATAATAAATGTATATAGTGTTACTATACCGGGCTTCTAACAACAATAGATGCATGGCTTCCATAGTTGGAGAGATCATAAGCAATTTCCATGCCGGAGTTCCCACATCCGACCACCAGCACCTCCTTCCCTTCATACTTCTTCCCGGTCTTATACCCACAGGAGTGAACAATCTCCCCTGCGAACACCTCCCTCCCGGGAATCTCCGGGACAATCCCCTCCGCATTATCGCCGCTAGCGACCACCAAAAACGGCGCCTTATACTCCTCCACCTCCTCGCCGCCGTGGCGGCGAGCCAGCACGCGCCACTTCCCCTCCGCCTCGTCGAAACGCGCCGACTCCACGCAGCGTCGGTACCTAGGGCTAATCCCGAAGCGGAGAGCGTACTCGTCCAAGTAGCGGACGAAGGAGTCCCGGGGAATGTAGGTAGGGCTCGCGGCGGAATGCGGCATGTAGGGCAACCCGCAGAACTCCTTGGCGAGGTGGAGATGGAGGCGATCGTACGATCGGTTCCTCCACAGAGACGCCAGGCATTCCTCTTTCTCCAGAACTATGTTCGGAATCGAGAGCTTTTTCAAGCACGCCGACGTCGCCAGCCCCGCCGGTCCGGCTCCGACGATGATCACCGCCGTTTCCGCCATAGCAACACTAATTAAGAAATTAAGAAATGGGAATATAATATTAGAGTTTTGAGTATGATACTTGTGAATGAATGAATACTACTAGCCTATACTACTCCTTTATATAGAGCTTGGTTCGGGTCGGGCATTAAAATCACAAAAAATTGACCACGTTTCACATTGTAAAAGTGAATCTCAATATGGATACTTTATTTTAATTATAAAAACATATATTCATTTTTAGTTATGGGTTAAATGCTTAAATGTAATACTTTATATGAGAATTCTGGTAAGGTAACGTAATTCAGTTTTATTTTTACGTAATCGATGCATTCAAATTTAATAAGTACAATGTATATAAAAAACGTATCTATAAGATTATGTAATTTGTCATCTCTACCTACCTCTGAAATTGGTAAATGATTTCTAAAAATTTAAGATACTATACGTGATTTAGTACATGCATCGTATTAGATTATATTAATTAACGTTTCTAAAAATTTATGGTACTATATATCTGATTTAGTTCATGCATCGTATTAGATTATATATTAATTAACGTAAAATTGAAACATTATATATTTTTCACCTCCATTAAAGTTCAATCTTTTGACCTCCCACATGGGAAAGATCGCTATATGTCATTTAAGCACAAGGTGGTTGACAAATTGAAACGATATATAATTAGCTATTTCATAAATTCCCATTTCATCTTCTCTTCAAACATTTTACTCCAATTCTTCTTCATTTTTTAAATACCACTTCGATTTTCACTTTCATATAATAAAACTAACATGTTCAAGTTGGATCCATTAGGGGAGTAGATCTTGAATTCCATTTGAGTTGATCAATTTTAAAATAAATTTTAAACTATTTAAAATTAATTATTATTTTTTTTAAATAAAAGGGAGTGGATTAATCATTAAGATTAGAAGAAAGAACGTCAACAATGAAATTTATTTAACTCTTAAAATTTTGCACATTATAAGTACTATATATGACTTATATCCAGAATTGTGATTCAAAATTATTTAAAAAGTATCCTTAAAAGGGTGGTTAGAAATATATTATATTGACCGTTCAAATTAAAAGGGATTGAAATATGCAATTCAATGTTTTTATACAAAATAAGTAAAAAAGAAAAATTACTTTATTTATTATACAAAGAAAGAAAACTCTTTATTTTTCAGAAAACTTCTTAATTGACTGATCTTATCATGAGTTAATAAATAACGTATATAATAATAAAATATAAAGCGTATCAAATGAAATAATGGCACACCATTTAGTGATTAATGGGGAGTACTCTACGTAGGTCCAACTGGGTGTGAAACAAATCAAATATTTAAAATTCAATTCCTGATTCGAATTCGACTATTTAGATTTGAATTTGAATAATTCGAATATATATTTAGATTTGTTTCGAATTATAATACGAATTAATGTTCGATTTGATTATATTCGTGTGTATGTTGAACGCATCTTAAGTATTAATATGGCGCACCTTAAGTATACAAACCACCACGCACCTTAAGCACACAAACAAAACATCTTAAGAATATAAATCACTCACATTAAGTACATAAATCACGCACCTTAAGCACAGAACAAAGCACATTAAGCACAAAACCCAGACACTTCAGATTTTAAAATGGCCCACATTAAGTATTAACTCACGCACATTAAGCACAAAACTCACGTACCTTAAGCTACTTTAGGTGTTTGGGTTTAGACTTAATGTGCGTGAGTTTTGTGGTTAATATGTGTGTGGTTTGTGTTTAAGGTGCGCGTGGTTTGTGGTTAAAGTGCGTTAGGTTTGTGCATAAGGTGCGTGAGGTTAGTGATTAATGTCAATAGTTGTTGAAACTTAATTAGGTGCATGAGGTTTGCGCTTTATAAGGTGCGTGGGGTTTGCGCTTAATGTGCGTGGTGTTTGTGCTTAATGTGCGTGAGGTTAGTGATTAATGTCAGTAGTTATTGAAATTTAAGGTGTGTGAGTTAATATTTAAAGTGCGCCAGTTTAATGCTTAATGTGCGTGAGGTTAGTGATTAATGTCAGTAGTTATTGAAATTTAAGGTGTGTGAGTTAATATTTAAAGTGCGTCAGTTTAATGCTTAATGTGCGTGAGGTTAGTGATTAATGTCAGTACTTATTGAAATTTAAGGTGTGTGAGTTAATATTTAAAGTGCGTCACTTTAATGCTTAATGTGCGTGAGGTTTGTGCTTAATGTGCGTGGATTTTATGCTTAATGTGCGTGAATTTGTGCTTAATGTGAGCCATTTTAAAATCTTAAGTGCGTGAATTTTGTGTTTAATGTGGTTTGTTTTGTGCTTAAGGTGCGTGATTTATGTACCTATTGTGAGTAATTTGCATTGTGTTCTTAATGTGCTTTGTTTGCGTGCTTAAGGTGCGTAGTGATTTGTATACTTAAGGTGTGTCATGTTAATGTTTAAGAGCCATCCAACCGCACGGGAAGCATCATTCGCATCTGAACCCTTCTCTCTCTCTCTCTCTCTCTCTCTTTATATATATATATATATATATATATATAAGATTATGTAAATCTAATCTAGCTAATTGGTTGAGAAAATTTTAAAATTTTAATTTTAATTAATTAATACTTCTTTCCTAAATTATTATATAAAAAAAAAACTTAAATTTATTTTTATATGTTTGGTTGTACGAATAAAAATATATCATGAATTTATTTTATTTATCAACTGAACCAAATTACTACTATGCTTATATCGAGTCTCAAACCCATCACCTTTCACATAGAGGAGTAATTTGATACCATTAGACCAAAAGGTCCTTGGTAGTTTTGGTTATTTAATCCTAGTATTTGTGGTTAAAGTTTGGACGGTTAAAGCTTTGTGTTGAATTCTATTTTATGACAAAATACTTTGCACATTTTCAATATATATATATATATATATATATATATATATATATATATATATATATATATATATATATATATATATATATATATATATATATATATAAAAGATTCCTTAGTTTTAACTTGATACATATTTTAGATTTTTTAACTTTTTTTTTTATATACCTTTGTTAGAGTTGAAAGTTGATGTAGTTATTTATCATAATTATTAGGTATATTTATTATTTCAAACATACAAGTTAGCTCATTCAATACCTAATTATCACTGTGTTATTCAATTGGAACAAACAAAATTGATGCTAATTTAACTTGTGCGTACTATATATCGTAACAATTGTTAATGGCTAGCTGCTTAGAAAAATTTACATAATCTTGAAAATTTCTAATGATGGGTTCAAGTTTTCATACTTAATGAATATGACAAAAAAATATTCAATACTGTCAAGTATTAATTAAAAGGTTATTGTATAGGCAAAAATAATGTAATACGGACAAATTAACTTTTGTTATGTATTGATTGAACGCATCATAATATGATTAAGGACAAAATTATTCACACTACTACTTTCACCTTACACTCATTTACATGCATTAATATTCAAGTGGGTTAGTAGACCTAAAATTTTTTCATTTCAATAATAAATAACTATTATACTTTGACATATAGTATATAGTATCGTTATGAGTGAACACTATTATAAATTTTCAGTGGGATTCGAATTTCACCATGTCGTTGAAAATAAGACTAAACGTTGATTGATCGACCACTTAAATTATTTACTATGTTTAGTTATAGTTATTTAATTTCGCGTACTATTTGTGGCTAAAATGTGGGGCGTGGCGCTCGGGTTGTGGCCATGGGTGTGTTAGGCAGTGGGACTGTGGGAGGGTTGGTGGTGTGGGACACGTGGTTGGTGGAGACTGATTTGCATGGATGTCATACACGTGGACAGTGCATGTGAGGCGTGTGGCAATATAAAAGGAGGGATGATGGTCTACTTAAGACACGACATTTTAAACATAAAGACCCTTTATGGTTGGTTGGTCTGAGCTCCTACTATAAGCCCTTAGGCCATCGTTCGATTCTTAAATAGTGTTATCTCTAGCTAGCCTACAATATTGGGTTGGTAGCTTGCGACTTGTATAGCCTACAATATTGGGTTGGTAGCTTGCGACTTGTTTTCTTTTCCCTGAGCCCCATGCCTCTGTCCGGTGTGAATTGTTACTTTGTATATACCTAATTTATGATGGACTCAGTCCCATTAAAACCATCCATCTTCATTCTGGTAATTAGTGTAATTTACTCTCCGTTGGCAAATGGCTACGTACAATTACATGAGGAATAATGGTGAACAATCATCCTCTCAAAAAAAAATGGTGAATAATCACAATAATCATAATAAACCATCACAACAACTCTTAAATAACAGAGACTAAATTGTGCACAATTAATAACAGTATAAAATATTTATTACAAATTATAAAATTAAAACTCCCTCATTAGATTTATTGGTAATATTTGAATGAATACCTAACTTTTTAAACTTTATTAAATTCGAACCTCAGGATTTATGCCACTTAAATAAGGTCAGAGTTGAACGTTAGGTATATAAATATATTTATTACTTCACCATATAAGTTAACGCATTCAATATCTAATCATCATTATGTTATAATATTCCATTGGAACAACCACAAGTTATGCTAACGTAACATATGCGTACATACTACGATGTAAGTGGTTTGTTATTTATACAATTTTCTATAACCTTAAAAAGTTGTCTATGTTTTTATTATTTAACTAGTTAAATATTGGATACGGTGATGTGATCATATTGACAACAATACTTCAATTAAGTATTGATTCAGCGCATCATATTATGATTATGACAAAACTATAGTTATATTATCGCTATTTTTACTATACATTTGATTTTTATTTTTTTATCTTTTATTACTATACACTTGATTGCATTCATTAATACTAAAATATTTTAAGTGGGCCACATCTAAAAATATTTTTTTTTTCTTTTTTTTTCAATAAGAAATAGTTGTTATACTTTGACTTGGTTCTCAAAATCAACACGAGTAAACACAACATATTTCAAATGTTAAGT